TAGGATTATTTTAGAAATCGATATGAGATTCAAAGTGTAAAAATGTCTAGTACTTTGAATGTTTTAGAAAATTATTCGAGATAAAGATGTATGGAACTACTGAAAATTACTTTAGATTCCTTTTTCTTATTCTGTAAATTCTTTGATTGGAATATGAATGTTGCTGGAAGTATGAGCATTTTCACAGGACAATGATATAAATGGAACTTTGAAACTTTTTTAAGTGTTACAGTGATATTTCGTTATATGTTCCATAATGTCAATAATATTGATTTCCCCGCAACATCCATAATTTTACAAATGTTAATATAACGAAATATCTTTTATGTGATGTTTGTGGTGTAATAAAACTCTGTGTTTCGATTACGTTTTTGATACATATACTCACTTATATTTCAGAACATGAGACACGAAGTCCCATAAGATGATAGGTCTATCCTATACCTAGTCGGTGGTATAAGCACAGACGATACCTTGTCTGTGTTATCACCTTATCACCTCGCTGTGGTAGAATTTATATTAGCTAATGGCTTGAGAATTTTTTTGTAGATGGCACCATATGTCTACTCTATCACTTTTAATTAACTGCATTGAAACGATTAAAGCTTGATTAAAAACACCAGACCGGCAATTTTTAATAGGCAAGATGAATACAGAGGAGTTTTCCAGGGAATCTGATATTGATGAATAAATAGTTTAATCATAATATACACGATTTGTATGTATTTTTCGTATTGCTTTTCATACTATTGAATACCATTCTTTCGGCTGGTACTCACGGGTTATCAGAGTGGGGCGGAATTATTATTTTGATCGTCGGCTGTTTGGCGTTTTCATGTGAACACGCTTTGAAAGATTTTGGCGGTATACTATTAGCGTGCGTGCCCCTGTACTTACGTGTGTGTAATGCATCCGTGAAACTAGGAGAAAACGTGTTCATTTGTAATTATTTCTTACATTACGGATACATTCTTATTAAAATTGTTATTGTTAGATGTAAAGAGTCCGTATCCCGTGTGGAACACTAGGTTCATAGAGAATTTCGTAAATATATTAGACTTTAGTCAATATGATATCGGCTATCATAGTAAAGACTGAGAACTACGAGACAGAAAAACAAACTGAGATTGACCATTCAGAAAAGCATCAGGTATCCTTAAACGAGCATGTTAACAAGGAGAACAAAAACACAGGTAAATTGTTCGAGTAGTATTTAAAACGTAGTCATAAATAATAATACCATCGATAAACAGAACTTATTTCTTATTCATCAGTGAATGATGCTACACCAGTTCCAGAGACAAGTAAAGATAGAAAGAAGCTTCGCAGTGGAAAGTATATAAGTACAGATGTTACAAGTTTCCAAAGAGTCCATGGAAATGTCACCAAAAATGCAACACCTCAACAAAAGACACAGTCTAAGAAACCTATTAAAAGAAAAAGCAATGTGGCTGAAGAATTGGAAGCGAAGGCACCTATGTTGGAGCTGAACGAAGAAAAACAAATGAATCATATTAAGTCTGAAAATGAATTGCATCAGGAACAGATAGAATTAGGCGATGACTCTGAGAACAACACTCTTAAAAAGATTAAAATAGAGAGTTGTAACGTAAATGGAAATGAACCCAAACCAATGCATCAGAAACCTGTTAGTGTTCACCAAAAGTGTGAATATTGTTGTCAGAAGTTAAATAATCCTGACTTAAAGATATATCCAGGTCATCCGAATGGGGCAGTGGAAGAAATCATTGCATTGACAGATCCTAAATTATCTTTATTCACAGGAGAAGAAGCCACAGTTTATGAGGGCGATGAGAGACCACAGAATAAATTAACTGACTTTTGGTAGTTAATCTTTTATCGTATAATGAAAACAACAGTACAATTTATGAAGTATTTGACTCCTACAACTAATGTTTTTTCTGCTTTTTTTTATAGCGTTTATGACAAGAACGGGCATTTGTGTGCTTTTGATACTGGCCTGATTGAAAAGAATATAGTACTTTATTTTTCTGGTTACATGAAACCTATTTATGAGGAAAATGCATGTCCAGCAGGAGGTGTGCCTACTAAAGATATGGGACCAATAAACGAGTGGTGGGTGGCTGGTTTTGATGGTGGTGAACTAGCACTTATAGGATTTACTACAGCATTTGCAGAATATATATTGATGGACCCCGCTGAAGCATATACACCATTCATGGATTCAGTGAAAGAAAAGATTTATATGAGCAAGATAGTTATAGAATTGTTATTGGACGAGGTTAATCCTACTTATGAAGATTTATTGAACAAGTTACAGGTATGTTATCTCTATAAAAAATTATAAGTATCTTAAATGGAACATTGATATAGGAACCTAAGAAAACAAGGGACCAGGTAAGTGAGATTCAAAACTGCGATCTCTAGATTCTTTTACTGGAAAGCATGTATCTTAATCACCAGTTACAGTACCTTCCAACTCCTGGTTGCTTGACACTAATTAATGAGTCTGGGTGTTGTGATCACAGTAAGATATTAATTGTATTTTTTTCCAGACTATAGTTCCACCAAAGGGATTGTCCAGATTTACAGAAGATTCCTTATTAAGATATGCTCAGTTTGTCTGTGATCAAGTTATTTCGTTTGATGCATCAGCAAGACCGGAAGATCCTTTATTAATTACAAGTTCATGTATGCGTGCGTTAATAACACTTGCAGGTGTAACGTTAAACAAAAGAATTGCATTGCGCAGAACACAGCCGAGAGACCAAAAGAATAAGAAAAGTGTCTGGACAAAAGCTACAACTACAAAATTAGTTAATAATATGTTCGAAACATTCTTCTCTGACCAATTGGCCACAAACAATGAAAAAGAAGTCTCTGTGGGTATTTGAAATGTTTATAATAAATGAAATCAGTGTATTCAGTGTACTGTTCTCTTCGACAGGGTCCTAAGAGGCATAGATGTGGAATATGTGAAACTTGCCAGCAACCTGATTGTGGAGTATGTTCTGCTTGTAAAGATATGATCAAGTTCGGCGGATCTGGAAAGAGTAAACAAGCTTGTAATAGGAGAAGATGCCCAAACATGGCTATTCAAGTAAAAGAAATATTAAATAAAATTCTACAAATATACGATCGTATGAAACAAATGTTTTTTTACATTTCCGTAACGTTTAGGAAGCCAATGATTCAGATCAAGAAGATGATGAGTTTAACGACGCATTAATAGAAAACACAAAAATTACACAGAAAATGATTTTGAAAGAATTCAAACACGTTGAAAAGGAAATCACATGGGTAGGGGAACCAGTTATAGACGATGGACGAAGAACATTTTATAAATCGGTTATGGTTATCGATGAAGAGATAAAAATAAATGATTACGTACTGATCGAATCGAATGATCCTACCGTACCACTACAAATAGCTAAAGTCATGTATATGTGGGAAGATAAGAACGGGGCGAAATTGTGCCACGCGAATTGGTTCAGAAGAGGCAGTGATACAGTGCTTGGAGAAACATCAGATCCATTGGAATTATTCGTACTCGACGAATGCGACAATGTACCATTTACGTCAGTGAAATCTAAAGCTACCGTTATTTATAAAGCCAGTCCAAAGAATTGGAGTGAATTAGGTAATTACTTCGTCTATCATTGAAGAAGTCGAGGTAAATATGTAACTAAATATTAATAACATTTCAGGAAATGCAGACTTATTACCAGAAGATAAAATACAAAATAAAGATGGAAGGACTTACTTTTACCAAAAACGGTATACCCCTGAAACAGCTCGTTTCGAAGATCCCTCTCCGGATCCTGCCTGTCAACGGAAAGAAGTTAGTCATCGATTTTGCCCTGCTTGTGTGCGTTTCACAATGTTACAGTGTTATTATACACCAAAGGTATGCAAAATGAATGATCAAGACCTCTTCCATTATGCATTCGATTTCTAATGAAAAGTTAATTATCTGTTTAGGTCTTCGATAAAGAAGAAGAGAAAAACAGCAAGGAAGTGACATATGCTGTTATAAAATACAAAGGTGAAGAATTCAGAGTTGGTTCTGCCGTATTTTTATCACCTGGAGCTTTGAAATACAAATACACATCTACATATCACAGTATTTCAAAGACAAAGAAAGGAAAGGTAGATGAGGATATGTATCCCGAATACTACAGAAAGTCTTCAGATCATGTGAAGGGATCAAACTACGATACGCCTGAACCATTTCATATTGGTTACATTAACGCAATATACGCGAAAACTAATAACAAATTAGTTGCTTCGTCAGATATATGGATTAAGATAAATAAAATGTATCGACCAGAGAATACACACAAAGGACTTACGCTAATGCAACAGGTTGATCTGAACATGGTGTATTGGAGTGATGAAGGTAAATGGTCAAACAGTTTTCATTTTTATAAGTTAGAGGAAAGGGGATTAATAAATTTCAATTCGACCTTCACAGTTTGCGATGTAAAGTTTTCTGAAGTAACAGGTAAATGTTACCTGGCATATTCAGAGAACTTGGATCAGTCTGAACAGGAGTGGACGGTAGGTGGTCCAAATCGTTTTTATTTTTCTCAAGCTTATAACGCTTCCGAAAAGGCATTCGTTGATCCACCAAATCACGCTATGGGTATCGGTAAACCTGGAAAGGGAAAGGGGAAATCAAAGTGCAAAAATAAGAATTTTGAGAACAGAGACGCTAAGAAGACAATTGATAAAGCAATAGATTATTATGTTGTTCCCGAAAAATTGAAAACATTAGATGTATTTGCTGGCTGTGGTGGTTAGTATAGAACTTTAAAATCGTACTGTTTATGTAATGATTGTTTCTAACTGGAACTGTATAATGTAGGATTGTCTGAGGGATTACGACAAGCTGGTATCGTAGACAATCGTTGGGCAATTGAAAGAGAAGAATCGGCTGCATGCGCGTATCGACTCAATAATCCTAATACAACTGTATTTTGCGAGGATTGCAATGTACTTCTGCGAAAAGTTATGAATGTAAGCTAATTTAACAAATACGAATACAGAAAAAATCTTGTACTATAATACATCTATGAAATTAATGTTCTCTCATAGGGTGATGTTTGCGATGATAGTGGTCAACGTTTACCTCAAAAAGGGGAAGTAGAATTATTATGCGGTGGACCACCATGCCAAGGTTTTAGCGGCATGAACCGTTTTAATTCACGACAGTATTCGTTATTTAAGAACTCCTTGGTAGTTTCGTGTTTGTCTTATTGTGATTATTATAGACCAAAATACTTTATCATGGAAAATGTTCGAAACTTTGTTTCCTTTAAGAGAAGTATGGTACTAAAATTGACATTGAGATGTCTCGTACAAATGGGTTACCAATGTACATTTGGTATTCTGCAAGCTGGAAACTATGGTATTCCCCAAACTAGAAGAAGGTACATAAAGTTCGGTTGTATCAACTAAACATGTAATCTGAATACACTTTAACTTTTTCTGTATGGCTCCAGACTAATAATATTAGCTGCTGCACCTGGAGAAACACTGCCAAAATACCCGGAACCAACCCATGTGTTCAGCAAACGGGCATGTCAATTAAGCGTTATTGTTGATAATAAAAAGGTAAGTTATTCTTAAGCTTGCATAGGAATCATTATTTGTACGAATTTTATAATGTATCTTTTTATTTTATAGTATTCATCTAATTGTGATTGGACTCAGTCGGCACCGTATAGAACGATCAGTGTCCGCGACGCTATGTCTGATTTACCTAATATTCGAAACGGTTGGAATAAGGAAGACATGGCCTATGGAGATGAACCAATCTCTCACTTTCAAAGAAAAGTAAAGACAAGAAATAATTTGCCATCCTTACATCTACATTTTTTTTTTATAAACACATTTGTCTTCGTTCTCAGGTAAGGCCGAAAGAATCCGATGCTATACTACGAGATCACATTTGCAAAGACATGGCCCCTCTAGTCGAGGCGCGAATAGCACACATTCCAACCGCAAGTGGATCTGATTGGCGAGATTTACCAAACATTGCGGTACGTTTGAGTGATGGGACGTTCTCGAAGAAGCTGTAAGTATAACTGATTTATATCTTTGTAAATATTATAAACAAGAGCGAACAGTTCATTTAGTAAATAATTGTTTCTATTATAGAGAATATACTTATCACGATAAAAAGACTGGTAAGAGTTCCACTGGAGCATTTCGTGGTGTATGCAGCTGTTGTGCAGGCAAACCTTGCGACTCAATGGATAGACAGTACAATACTTTAATTCCATGGTGTTTACCTCATACCGGAAATCGTCATAATCACTGGGCGGGATTATACGGTAGATTAGAGTGGGATGGATTCTTCGGTACAACCATTACCAATCCTGAACCTATGGGCAAACAAGGTCGTGTTTTACATCCGGAACAAACCAGAGTTGTAAGCGTGAGAGAATGCGCTAGATCACAAGGCTTTCCTGATTCGTTCCGCTTTTATGGAAACATACTTGACAAGCATCGCCAAATCGGCAACGCCGTCCCGCCGCCATTAGGCGCTGCTCTTGGTTTTGAAATTAGAAAATGCTTAGCAACCGAGAACAACGAGCAATTAGAGAAAAAGCTAGATTTCAGCGACTGATAACAATGTTAAAAGCAATGATATTTATGACGGACTATTCTATTGAATCTTAACGGTAGCACAATATGTTATAGATGTCTTTTCTTTTTTTTATCTCGGTACATGAATTTACCAATATGTGTCCATTAAGAGTATGTAGATGCTTCCTTATACCATTTACGTAACCAAAAGTATTATGGGATGGTGCAACATTTATTTTCATGTGCAGCACTCAACAGCGAGAATCAGTATTTTAAATTGCTTTTAAAATATTGAACACATACGTACACATGTATGTACTTGTCGGGAACTATTACATGGGAGAACTCGTTCGTAACAATTATTATACTATATGTATATATTGTACCTTTTTACAGTTGTGTTAAAAATAAAATTGTTTATCGACATAGTTTTAGAAGAGAGATAATGGCGGGTAAAGTTATTACATAACGCAAGGAATATTTATTGTGAAATAAAATCTTTATAACAAATTCTTATGCTATTAAATAAAAGACTTCCCCGCCATTTTTTATTCACTTTTTTTGAATTTCGTATAAGTAAGAAAACTTAATTTTATACCCATTCACAGTTATTCCAGTCTTGCTATCAAACACGAAATTCCTATATATACATACGGAGCAATACAGGCATTACATGTCATTACAATTCAAGCAATATTTAACAAATATTTTACACTAACATGTGGGCAGATACCATTTTAATCGTGTTTATTAGTATTTGTACTGCTTTATTAGGAGAAGGTAGAACATTTTAAGTATTTCTTGTTTTCGCAGTTTAAGGTTATATTTCCTATCTTCAGGTTACTAATTTTCAAACAAATTTTATATTATATTATAGGTTTAACATGGCTGATGGTTTATCGAACAGAAAAATATCAAAAATTAAAGGCTGAAGTTGAGAAACAAAGTAAAAAGTGTAAGTTTCTAAGTAATGATGTTAAGTAGACAGTGGTTCCTTAAAGACCTGTGCAGATTATTCATTTAAATATTTAAATAAATCGTTATATAAAACTAATTTCAGTGGAAAAGAGAAAAGAGGCTCATGGTGATTCATTGGATAAACAGCAAAAAAAGAAAATTGAACGAGAAGAGGAAAGATTGAAAAATAACAACAGAGATCTGTCTCTTGTAAAAATGAAATCTATGTTTGCAATTGGGTTTGCATTCACAGCTCTTTTGAGTATGTTTAACAGCATCTTTGATGGCAGAGTTGTGGCAAGGTTGCCATTTGTTCCAATTAGTTGGATACAAGGTTTATCACATAGAAACCTTCCAGGTGATGACTACACAGAATGTTCATTCATCTTTCTTTATATACTGTGCACAATGAGCATAAGACAGGTATATAGTATTTTACAGTACATATTATGATTGAAATTAAATCATTCAATAAAAATGTTATTTGCAGAATATTCAAAAAATGCTCGGATTTGCTCCATCCAGAACTGCAAGTAAACAGAGTGGAAGCATATTTGGTCCTCCACCTCAACAGTTTAAATAAATTTAGAGGAATATTAAATTATTTCGAATACAATAAATATATATTTAATACTGATATATGATCCTGTTTTTAATTAAGTTTGTATAATACAGTGTATTTATAAATATTATAAAACACAGAATCGTTAAGTCTATCCAATATGACAAATGGGTGAGAATATGACTGCGAAACATAAAAAAAACACCATTTTTATATAAAACTCGAAAAATGAACAAGATAATTTAAAAATAATGTAAAAAGATAGTAAAATGAATGGGAGCTTTCCTGTTGATAGAGTAATGCAGCATATTTTAGAAAATAGTTATTGATTCATGTATTCCATCAAGCAGCTCTTATACAACAATCAATGTTATATACAAACATAACGATCAATCATATACACAAAATAACCACTACCTTTAATTCGTAAAAAATATTTAATACAATAATAGTGTACCAGTAATCGGTCTCATGGAGCACAGAATCAAACAGATCACCGAAAGTGTGCTCTATTATTAACGGATTGTTTTGCCATTAACTACTTTAAATCATACATACACATTTTTACTTAAAATTGTTGCCTTTCTTTTTATATTATTACATACCATTAAGCCTAAAACAGTCTCTTGTTATTAGAGCTAGCGACATTTTTTTGTACAAAATGATACAATTATGATATTTACAATAAATCTACATACACGACTAAATATTAGACATCTTAATTTAATAAAAAGTTATTTAACTCGTTATTTGAACTTTTGGTGTTACAATGTTCCGTTGTATGTTACGCATAATTCGTTTCGACAGCATTTTTAATCACACAGATTCATTATTAATAATAGAAAGCGAGTAGACACCTGGCAATCTTGAAAGACAAATGCTTATTAAATTGGAATTTCCACTTCCCGATTATTAGCGTTATACATTTTGAAATCATTAGTCGTCATGTTTATAAGATTAAAAATCGTGACGTATCGGTTAATTTTAATTACTGTTATCCGAAATATATATTCGGCAGTGACTACTGCCTGTAAATTGTGAACGCGAAAGGAAGACATTTAAATGATATTTCACATTATGATGACATATTCCAATTTTCAATATATTCTGAAAATAGATAAATAAAATTATTCTTCTTTTTTACAATTGTTTCAGACTTTCAATATTCCCACCAAATTATAATAAAACATAACGTGTAGGAACCTCTCGCCGTCCAGCAGCCGATGAACCTGTTGTTTTTCGTTCATTGTCATTTCAAATTTAAAGCAGCTTTCGACCATGAAATTCTGCTAAATATCACTGACGAAAGAATAAGGTTCTCATGCTGTATTTAATTCTCATATTCTGCGTGACACAATGCAAAGAAATCAAGAATTATTCAATATCATTCGAATCCCTTGAAAATAGAACTGTACAAATATTACATCATGCGCTTCGTTATTAGTATTGTTAATAGAAAATTGCACATTATCATTGATTATCGCGTGTGACATGTACTTCGATCAACTAAGGTGAATAGTTCCTCCTATATGATCGTCCGTTCCCGAAAATTCGATCGCACAGAACGAATGTTGTATCACATTACTACGAAAATGCCAACGACTCCTCGGTTACCCGGAGCATCTTTCAAAATGGCGGACAGTTTACACCAGGATGAAGGTACTGACACTTATCACCGACACGGCAGTAGCCATTCTTTGAAAACTGTCTACACACTGGCGGTTGCTTTCCACTCCCTCTCCAACCACCACCCCCCCTCCATCCCCCTCTTCCAGGTGGTCCCCCACCGCCTCGGTACCAGCCAGGTCCAGGTACACCTCTACCTCTGCCGTGCATTGGACCACCACCTCTAGGTCCTTGAAAGTTCGGTCCTGGGCCGTACATAGGACCAGGCGGACCTTGGAAATTATTTGGGTTCATGTTATTGAAGCCCATATCTTCTGGCCCCATCATTCCGTACCCTTCCTGTTGTTGATTGTACATAGGCGGCGGTCCCATCATTCCAGGCGGTACCATTGGACCACCCTCCATACCTGGCGGGAACGCGTTAGGCATATTTCCCATGGGATTCATTCCCATTCCATCAGGTACAACAACTTTTCCATCGCCCGTTCTCCATCCTCCTCCTGCAGCAGGCATTGGTCCTCCCATTTCAGGCCCTATCGGACCCATGTGAGAAGGTCCCATCATTTGCGGAGGCATCTGAGGTATCGGACCCATAGAAGTCTGAGGACCCATAGGCGTCATCACTGGCTGTTGATTATGGGGGAACGATGGATAATGGAAATTGGAAACGGGCGGTGTTTGAGGTTGCAGCTGAGGCTTTGGCTCTGGCCAAGCCATGGAAGTGAAGTCTTTCTCGCTTTCCTTGTTTCCGGTGAGATCGTCTAAAGGAATGATTTTAGGATCACTATATATATGATGGCGTTCTTCGTCGGGTTCCGCTGCGGAATCTGGAATCCTATAATTAAAATACATTACGTAAATAAATTAAACGTTATTAATTTTTTTATTAAAAAAACAATAATTATGAAGATATATTTTGTAAGACTCGCATCAGAGTGTACAGTTTATATATGAAACCGTCCAATGGTTTCGAGTTCCTAATTGTTTAATCTAGCATGCATAGTATATTTCACACGACTACATAAGTCAACAATACTCGTGTGTGTCTACATGCAACGTACATGACTATACTTCAGAAATATACTACATGAATTTATATCAAAGACAAAGAAATCATAAAGTATGTAATTATAGATCTGTTAACTAAGTAAGTAAGATAGTCTGTTCTTACATGCTTCGGTTAAAGTACAACGCCTGCAAAATGCCTTTCTCCCTAGCATACTGAATGTCTTTCTCTCTACTATCTTTTCCAGATTCTACTAAAGCTGGAGGTAGATCGATTGGAATTAAAGGTTTCCATCTCGTCCTCTCTTCCATTAAGTCTTCAGTACCTGAAAATCACACGAATTATTCGATTTCATTTTCTATATAAATATTCACAAAGTAATGCAACAGATAGTAGCATGATGACTCACTTAATTTTCTAGCCATCTGGAATGCTTCTCTCTCGTTCTGTTTTTCCATTTGCTTCATATCAGTGAACGTTTTTGTAACATTCACCCTTTCAGTTTCGTCCAATTCGAAGTATCGCACCGACTCTATATCTGTTTTCCATTTCAATACTTTCTTCGGTCCTTTACGTTTCTGAAGCAATAAAACACTTCTCAATCCATCAACGTAACGAATTTCTGGATAGGAGCCAGTGTTCTCCTTCTTTGTCGAATCCGATACAGAGGAATCATCCGGCGAATCGGCCTTCTCCTCCACATCATCATCAGGTGTCGGTGCTAATAAACAAAAGCCAACGTTAGAATCAGATATTAGTATGTTCTAAATAAATTAAAGAAATATGGTTGAAAATCTTACTATTACTTCCGGCATCATCATCAACATCCGGCTTGAATATTCTATTCTCTTTCTGGTCATCCGCCTCCTCTTTATCTTTTTTAACATCATCGTCCGAATTCTCCTTCTCTTTTTGCTCCTTATCTTCGTCTGTTTCCAGAGTATCTTGATAAAACTGCAAATAAACATAGTTTCTATTAAACTCTATTTATAGAAAATTAAATCGAAATTCGAAACTTCAGAAAATAATTTCTCGAAATCTTGCGCGATATATAAATAAATAATAGGTATAGATTTTTTTTATTGCTGGTCTAATTTTATAATTACCAGCCGTCGAAGAACAATGTTATGAAAAAAAATACACACCTTAAAGTTAGGTTTGACAACTACAGGTGATTTTTCATCGGCACTTGGTGGTGAGGTGGGTGGAGGCGTAACATCCCGATTATCGTTCGCGGCAGTTTCCTGTTTCTTCGGTTCCGAAGGACCGTCTTTTGTGATAGACGTTCTCCGTTTCCTCTTCCGCGGTTCTTTGCTCTTCGTCGACGCCGTTAAAGCATCCATAAACATATCGCTTTCTTGCAGAACCATTGCTGGAAAAAAATAATTAAAAACCCACGGTTAAAGTACAAATTGAAAAGAGAATTATTTAATAGAAGTCCCCATTTCTTTATTGATAAAGTGAAATGAAGTATGAGATGATTACAGTGTGTCCATCCGGTTCCATCAGGATCGTAGGTCCAACCAGCAAAGTAATTAATTATTAATTAAAGTGCATCGTTGGTCCTATAATTAATTATTATTATCTCTGGAATCTCATTGTACCTTGAAAGATAAAAAGCTCTGCATTGGTGGTCCTTTCAGATCCGGATGTGACACAATAGCAGTTCAGATACACCTGCAATAAAATTTTAATATTCGTAAACTGTCCGCTTAAATCTGTAAAAAGACATACATAATATATCTATAAACAAATAAAAAGGCGGATGGCAGTCCTTGAGAAATCTGAAAATAAATAATAATTTTATTCCATCAGGTGTTTGATCGAGGAAGAAGCGGAAGAAAGACCAATGAACAAACTGCAATAAAAAATAGTGTCAATCTTTGTTTCTAAAAAACTGTGAAAATCGTTTGAAGGTGTAGAAGAACGAAGACATTATCTTGATTCAGTAAAAATGTGAATCTTTGAAACAAAAAGTTGCGAATACAGTTAACAGTATTCAATATCGAAGTCAAATTCGGTTGTTGCGTAATTACAAACGCAAATATAAGAGGCAGTTTTGTTGTACGATTTCCGTCACAAGTGAGTAAATTTTTATTGATCAATAGGATCATTGAATCAATTCGAAGTGTCGAAGCGAATGCAAAACAAAGATGTAAATAATGCACCTGTGTTTGCAATAGCATCGTACCGATCAAAGTTTTTAAAAACGGGAGACAACGTCGTAAATTCAATTTTTATAAATACATCAAATATTTAAAAAAAAAAGGAGAAAGTGATCGGTACGAAATACGTTTCGAAACGTATTCCGATTCAGTTTTAATAACTGCCCGTTTATTAATGCGGTTATGCATTATTTATTCTGTAAATTGTAGTCTCAGTTACGAATGCGTTTCGATAGCATAAACAAAGACTTTTTACGTATTCATTCAATGATTGATATCTTTGAACTTTTATTTTTCTGTTAAATTTTTGTTTCTATAACGATGAAATTTAGAATCGAACAAAGGGGACCAAATAGTTTCAATTGATGAACTGCTTTTTTTCAACATCCATTAATGATTCGTTTGTTGTATATAGGAAATGCAAGAGCGACATATCACATTGATAATGTGTTACAAGATAATCGTATATGAACATTTCTTAGAACGGATTCGATAAATGATAATAATAAACTGGGGAATAACATACGGGTTTTATTGTACGGCTCCAATTTTATTTCCATCAAACTCTCTAGAGTCATGTTTATGTTTAGTTTGCTCTAAACGCGATGCAAATCATTGAGCGTACCCTTAGCGTCTTTTACGTAACAATTTTAGCGTACTAGCTTTTTTCAACGTCTCCGTTACGTGTACTTTAAAAAATCCTCTTTGTAATGTAATACACCGCCTAATATTAACATAAATAATTACAGAGACTTTACGCAATCTTGCGATAGTAATTACTATAGAAACAGATACGTTTCTGTTCTTCTATTTTCCATATCGATATGAGAAATTACTTTCCATTGCTTTAAACATTACGAAGCTGCAAGAACTTTATAATTATTATGCATTTGAATAAATACCATTATATAAATTATCACTAATCAACGCTAAACGTATACAAAAGTATATTACAAATGCGTTAATGTATAATTCAAAATAAAAAATAAAGCTACACTTGCATACATCCGACTTAGCGAAACAATTTTAATATTTTCTTTTTTTTATATAATATAATCGACATTATAAAATCTAATGAAAACGAAAACCATACTCTTTCCTCGTACCATTAATTATAATGAAATGCGTCAACAATTTCGAATTTCTAAAGTAATAAAAACAGTACAAAAGAAAATAGTTTATAAGTTAAGAAACTTTCGTAAATGAAATGAGCTACTATGGAGTTTATTTTACGTTCGAATCCATTTTCGAATTTAAACAAGGCGATAGAATACGTGTTCGCGATACGGCGCGGATCTAAATACGTTGAATGGTTAATACATAATAGCGCGGGGCGTAATGCACTGCTACGAGAAACAGAGACTGGTCCCACACGCGATTGCCGGTGCGAACACCGTTGCAAAAACATCGGCCCCGGTACTCGCGTAGCAGAGCGGAGAATTGCGCCGTTGCGCAACTCCATCTCGTAATTCCCGTCCATCCTTCTTCGCGTCTAATTCAAACGGGTGATTCTGAAATCCAGCCTTTTTTCCCGCCGACACACCGAACGGTTCAAAACCTTGAATTTAAAAACATATTTAAACGACATTAAAAACAAATTTCTCTCTTTCAACGTGACTAAACTAGAAAAAAAATCAAACCGCGCTCTTTCTTTTTAACTGCGTCTCGTATGACACTGTTTCACGCAGCAACAGAATATACTGACAATAATATGAATTGAGCCAAGATCATTCTTATTTGAGAAAATTCGAATATACAGAAAAACATTTTTTTTTAGCAAACTTCAAGAGTTTCATAAAGCCCTTTTATATGATTTCGTACGACAGTTGTTGTTTTACATCAACGATTAAATAAACGCGGATTCTCCCATTACACAATTCAGTTATATGAAACGGTACTTAAGTACATTTTTCTAACTGTGCTAAGGACAAGCACGATTATATCGTTTCGTTCCCCTTGTCTTCCTCTATCTTTCTCCCGTTGCAATAAACATTCTCGTTTCACCCCGATTGTTAATCCGCGACCACTGGCAAGGAAGGTAACTTCTTCGCCATGTCGGACGTCGTCACCGGAAATAGACGATTACGTGTCGTGTAAGAAGAGGCCCGCTGATCCTAAAGGGCGGCTTGCTCAAGGACGTCGAGTCGATATGCAGCGTCGCATTTCATGCATTTTCAGATGTGTGTTTCTCATCCACGAGATTGTCTCTTTTTCAAATGAACTTCCTCCAAACGTCGTGCCACATTCTTCTCGCTTTTTTTTTCATCTACTCCGTCCAAACATACTCTAATTGCTTTCTCTCTCTACCTCGCACGCGCTCAATCTCTCCCTCTCTCTCTCCCTCTCTCTCTCTTTCTCTATGTCTCATCATTCTTTCTCACTTTCACAAGGATATCTCGGGACTGATGTGCCCGAAACAAATTTCAATTCTCTCTGATGAACGCACGAACGTATTCGAATGATTCCGCAAATCCACTGTGAACTGAATAAGACAAATTTGAAAATAACGTGTCGCTATGGAGAATTCCTTTCCCTTGTGTGGTGACGCTCGAAATGGTGTCATAAAACGTCCAGCATCTTTCGTTTGCTAGTCGAATATAAAAACTCGTAGGCAAAACTCTGGTGCCATGAAAATAAAACTGCACACTAAAAAAAAAAAACAACAAGCTCGGACAATACTTCGCGTTATCGCGACTATAGGAATTAATAAAAGTATATTCCAGAAGCATGCAACCAACGCAAATTTCTCACTAATTTTAAGCTAATACCGTGTTATGGATTCGTTTCAAGCGTATGCCTACTTGGTTACTTAAATTAATTTATGTGGACGAATAACACCATTCTGAGCGACCCAACTTTTTGTTCGCACTTTCAATTTGTGCGATTAGTCACCGAGAGGATGGAAATCTGGATGGGCCCACGGTATGAGTGTTTGCTTTGATCAAGCATTCAAGTGAGCAAGATGTATAGCAGAAACCCAAGAGTTAAATATTTCCAGATTTCTGATCAATTTATTTAAAATGCTTAATAGGGTGTACATGTACAAGGGAAGAAGTATGGACAGACGAGAGTTTGGTTTTGTCTCCTTACCTAGATAGATTAGTAATATCCGGATGGTGACTTCTATTTGGTGTATCGTTCGTCGGTGAACGGTAAACACACCCCCGAAAATTCTATCGATAAAAACACAACACAGTTTCCTATTTTATCCAATAAAAATTACCAATCGACGGAACTGCCACGATTTTCTTGAATGTCGCTTAATCAGAATAGTCTACGTTATTTTGTAACCGCACCCCGGCACTTAGCTTTCATAACTTTCAGTACGTACGATTTAATTAATATCGAAGATTACCTGTTAAATCTTCTTAATATAGGAAATAAATCGACGGTCAAAGAGATGATCTTAATTGTCTTCGTTCTTCTAACACGATGATTATTTATCGGGACAAGCACGAGAGATCCATTTTCAATCGCACTTCCACGTAGCTCGATCGATACAGGATTTCTTTTACCTTCTATAAGCTCTCTAACAATTTTTAGGAAGGTAGTACAGACAGGGTTCTATTGTACGGTATACAAACTAAAATAATATTGGCCTGGAAGAAATTCTGCGTTAAACAGATAAATAAAATCTACATGAATGCCGTGAATTGTAAAATATCAGTGCGTTCACGCAATATAGAAAATATATAAATAATAGTTTGCTCATCTTTCTCCTGGAGCCATCCACCTGCAAACTCAATATTAAGAAGTTAGTAGTAGCATGTACGATAGACAAGACTGATGTTCCAAAGCCGATTGCTATCCATTAAGTATGTAACTTAGAACAGATTGTACGCAATATTATTATACAAAAAATTGGAGTTGACATTTTTGCTACTGTACTAATTATAGTAAAAATATAAGAATAATAACTAATACATCATTTATATTCTTCTTTTATGAGTTAACAACTAAGACTTTAATAAGTACCCTAACATAATATATTGTTAAATATGCTAAATAAATCCAACTAATCTATCAATGTGGTAATTAATACTGACTATATATAATACATATTTATAAAAAAAACATGAGAACTTTAAAAGAAGCTTGTAAAAATGTTTCAATCCAAAATTTTTAGGCTTAGAACATCAGTGTGTAATAAGAATTTAAGGTAAAATATATATCTTTTTCCCTAAAGAATTAAATTATCTTCTTGAAAAAAGGTATGTATACACTATAAAAGGAAATTTTGAAGCATAGTACTTTAGAAACTGAGTGATACTTACGTTTTGGTTTTGGTGGTATCAACTTAATGCCTCCCTTCTTTTCTTCGCTTGGAGGTGTGGTTGGAGAGTCCAGAGACAATTTTGCCCGTTTATCCGCCGTTGGAATAGCTTCTCTAAGCGGGGAAGGCCTCTTCAGGACAGGTAACTTCTGTGGTATGACTTTTTTCTCAATGATAGGGTTCGGTTTTTTTGCCGATCTTGGAGGTGGTGGTTTTACTTCCTCCTCTAAGCCAGTTGACCTGAATTTAGAGTTAAACGTTTTCACAGTCTTTGGCCGTGTTGTAGAGTCCTGAGAATTTTTTCTACTCTCGATAGAAATGGAAATATTTTTTTTCTCTGGCATTGCAACAACTTTCTTCGAATCAGTCTTATTTTCTTTAGAGCTGTCCCTAGAGTCTGTAGATGACTTTCTTACAGCTGCATCCCCTGGTTTCTCTTCTTCGGACTTCTTTTTCGGTATTTTTCCTAACTTAGAACTCAATGCCTGCCCTTGTACTTTTTCTAATGTTGCTTTATCTTTCTCTGCTTGATCCTTCTTCTGTTTCTCTTTCTCTCTTTCTTTATCAGATTTACTTTTACTGGAACTACTATGTTTACTGGATGAACCAGATGAATGATGCTTATCCCTGTCCTTGGAAGACTTATCCTTGGAACTGGAGCTTTTCGAACTACTACTACTACTACTACTAGATCGATGACTACTAGATTTTGATGTGGAACTAGAACGATGCGAACTGGAACTTGAGGTATGTTTAGAAGAACTTTTGGAAGATGAAGAAGAACTATGATGACTTTTCTTATCTGAACTACTAGATTTTTTCTCATCTCTTTTCGAAGAGTCCCGATTTTCTTTATTACTAGATTTACTAATTTCACTACTAACAGTGTCTTTAGAGTCTTTATTTTCTTTATTTTTAACAACTTCCACATCGGTAATGTCTATGGAATCTACTAAAGTTTGTTTCACTTCACTCGAAACTTGGTCGAATTTTTCGGATTGCGCAACGTCCGCTTTAAAGTCCTGACCACTGACTACACCATCACTGAGTTCCATAAACTCCGCTTCCTCTGAAATTTCCTTCACAGGAAGTGTATTGTCCACAATGCCTCCATTAATTTCTACCTTTGTACTATTTGTATTTAGAACACTATTAATATTCGCAGTATCAGTCTCCACTTTTGTGAGAATCTGTTTACCTTCGCGAATTGTGATTTTATACACAGGAATCGGAGATTGCGAAGATGTAGATACCACGACAAAAGCTGGCTTTTTCGATTGCTGCGACGACAGTTGTTGTTGTATTTGCACCTGTTGAGGTTTGCTCACAACTTGCAGTTGCAAGGGTTGTATAGTTGTCCTTTCTTGAGACTGCTGTTGCTGTTGTTCTTGCGCCTGTTGCAATTGTTGCTGAATGTGAGATACTGCAATAGGTGATGTGGAATTCGGAGTGAATTGTAGATCCTGCACATGCACAGTTGCACTTTCTATGCCCTCAGAAACTTGTTGAATACCACAGTGAATCGAATACTGTTGCTGTTGCGTTGTTTGGGATACAATATTTTGCCCTAGAGCTCCAGTATCCTGCGCCGAGACAGCTACAATTTGTGCTGGCACAGAGTTTGGTGCTGCTTCTCCTTTCACTATTTTCAGCCATTGTTCTACCAATTGGCTTGCCAACACTCTGACTCCTTGATGACTACCCTCTTTAGACAGGCCCTTTATTAATTTTGGACAATTGTTGCTTTTTAATCTTTCAATATCGACTGGACATAACAGCAGAAGTTCTAATAATTCTTGAATGAGAGCCCAATTTTTTAAAAGAATACCATCAGTTAGCCACATGTGAATGAGATTCCATCCTCCAGCTCCCATAAACCTAAAAACACAGAACATTGTCCAAATTCTAAGCTGTCCTATACTGTGATATAATCTTCTATGGCCAATAACATAATGTATTACAAATATATTTTGTGGGACTCGCATCAGTGAGTACGGTCTAGATATTAAAACCGTCCAATGGTTCAGAGTTCCTACAACTTTATTCTAGCATGTACTTTATATTTCACACAGTAATAGAAATTATGAATACTTGTGTGTGTCTCACATGCAATACACAGAATGGATTTTAAATTATATATTACAATTCATTGTATCATTAATTTGTAACATCATAAAACATATACTCACTGGCTAAGTAAATCCGTGTTTGTGGTCTTTAATATCTGAATGTAAATGCATTTTGAAACAAGTTTTTTTGAGAACTTCGTCATTAAATTAGCTAACCGATGAACTTCTTCTTTACTCTTAATACCTCCAGTTGGCCCCAACAAAACACTAAGACATTTCAGTAAAGACAGTGGATCTATACGTGGCTGAAAAACATATGGATATTATAATTTCAAATGACCATTTATAATAGCATAAATAATTAGTCTTCAAGAATTGGAAGTATTGTTTTCAATATTTTAAAAGAAATCATTCTCAGTTAAGCAATTTTTACTCCTTCCATATGTTGCACTTATTCTTGCAACATTCTAACTGTATATTCAAGTGCACACATTAAAGCAATTTATAACTTTTTTTTTTAATTTTTAATTGAGAAGAGGCAGCATATTTTCTTTCAATTTAATTGCTATTAAAAATCATACTATTTAATATAAATCCTAAATTCACGAACTATTACATAAACTAAAAATCATGTAATTATGTAAGTGTTACGTGAATTAAACCAAAGATTAAATCTTTCCGTTGCGAAGGAAAAAAAACACGAATATCGTCGAGAAACACAAATTGTGAATTCAAAAGCGTAAGGCTCGATTACCTTCCCCATTTTAATCTTTGAAACATGAGTACCATAAAAGCATGTTTTTTTAATTTTGGAAAAGCTAATGTTACACTACCGAAATGCTCATATTATACGATCATTAAAAGTTGGCGATGCCAGAAATAGGATACGAGGTCATACGAGTGAAGGTTATTGATCTTACAGCTTTCCCCTTCCATTGAGTATCTGTCGTAATTCCAAGTACATGGCGCCCTCTCTCAAAAAACTCGCGTATCACGGGGGGGAAAGTAATTGATTTTTTTAATAAATTTAACTTACCATTTTGATGTTATTCTGGACGATTTAGCGCATATCGAACTGCAAACATAGGATCATGTCGTAAATCTGTAATAAAACACAAAAATACTCGGGTTTTTTTTTGTGGGTAAAATCTGAACGCAGTTGAAGGTCGAACGTAACACGTTACACCGCCATATTGTCGAACATTCTCACGAACGGAGATACGTTAGAGATCTTATAAATCTCTTAAGAGTAAAAAAATAGTTACATTGGCAAAAAAAATGCTTTTACCTAAGTCTAAACGTACTTTCACCCAAAATCTCTCGCGATTACTAATCTCTTGAAACGCTTCCCTATTCTCATTATCCTTTTATCGTACTATACAAAAATCGTCTTTTCGCGAGTCGTAAACTACAATATCGGAAGGACTTTCGTACCGAATCTTTCGTCTATTCGATTTACGCTTTCGTTATAATTCATTTCCTAAGAAGGAAAACTTCGAATACTGAAATTAAACGGCAGAAAGCTACAAATATTGAAACTATCGGTACGAGATACGTAAGCTCCAGGCAACGGTGCTCACTTGATGGTCAACTGGCGGATTTCTTCCTGCGCAATACTTCCGCGCATATCCCACCCAAAATGGTTACACAACCGACCAATCACGTCGCGAGGCCCCCTTACGGTACCCAATAATTGTCGCGACCCCACCCTATCTCACTTGACATCATCACCGAGCAACTTCTATTTATAGCACACCATGATCGTCCATTTGTGCTTCATTAGAATTTTTTCCAAATTTGTAAATTCTTATCCATATATCATCACTAACACTTTTGATAACGCTCTTAAATAATATTCTGTTACCACTCGTGCAATTTCGAAATGTAACGTGTATCTCGCATGCAATTATTGCAGAGACTCGACAGACCCAACAATATGTCCATGAAATTACGTCACTAATATATGAATTGTTCTATCTTTGTTTTAGGCCTCTAATACTTTACGTATCAAGCTTCTTTTATTATATTCATTGCGATATTTTACTGAAATCCTCTATATACGTAATGAACGAAAGAACCGTACCACCCTCTAACATATCGTTTCAAAATTAAACGGTGTTAAAAGAATATAAGGCTTCGGCTTTTTTGAACGACAGAAAAGCCACTCACATTTGATTAACAATTAAATCCTTTTTATGGAAAATAAATGTTCACAGCAATGCATAAGAAATTGAACATTTCCTATACACGAAAACGACGTAGCCCTATGCTTCGATGAAAATGGACAACGCATTCGCCGACTGTTACAAGATTGTCTGGAATCCGCAAATATCTTCCTGTCGATCTGCCATCTGCAATCAAACATTGTTTAAATTTTACTTTTATTACCTTATTGTTGTTTTTCTTGTGATATCTTGTAGAACAATTCCGTAAATTTACTTTTAACTTGAGTAAAATTATCCTCACCTAACTACGTAGAAGCTGCTGTTACGTCCGAACCGGAAACATCCTATTCTCTTGGAGTGAATCAATTGCTTGTTTATTTTATGCACCATATCATGTTATTATTTTAAACTATTGACCTGAGGGATGTTGAACTAAAAGGTTAAAAACATTTATATTAATTACATTTAATTATTAAAGCTGAATAAATACTTTAATATTATAAAGAACTTGAAACATTTACAGAGTAGCATCCGGTGTGACTATATTTGTTAATCAAATCAGCAACTTTCATGAAAAAATTTATGACAAAATACAATATATTAAATGTAATAGAAACTTTTTCTAGAAATTAAATATTTTTATTCTGTTTATGACAAGGATTTAGAATTTAATAATACAATCTTTTCGTATGTTAATCATTTATAATATCTAAGTAAGTTTTTAAAATATTTAAAATAAAATAAAATAAAAAAGTTGTATATAGAATAGTGTAATAAATAAAATTGTAAAGTATATTTAATACTAATAGCAATCTGTACTAGCAATTAAAATCTATTTCATTTGAGTTTGTACATCTTGAGTTATCCCAGTTTCTCGATTGTATTCTCTATCAAACAATTTTCTCAGAAAACAGAAATAATGTCATTAATGTCCAATGGATTCCATTTGGCTGGGTCAATTTTACGAACCAATTTAATAACAAAAGTAAGAGCGAACACATTAATTACATTAAAATTATTGTAACCCTTTGGTATGGAATCCTTTGTAGGTTATACCTGTGAGATTTATACATCCTACAATTTTGCAACAAGTTAATGAAAAAAACTCAGTAGGACAAGAAAAACCACAATCAGATGTATCATCTTCAAAAGACAGAAGTAAAGTTATTCCTGTGGAGACTAGTATACGTTATTTGAAAAGTAATGGTGAGTATGGACAAATATTCATAGGTGTGAAATGTATTTATAAAAGCATTATTTCAGCTTATAAGGAAACTTATGGAAATTTCCCTGTTTGGAAGCACTATAGGCGAAATCACAAAGGACAATTTCCGCCACAAAAAACACGAAAAACTTGTATTGTAAGTATCTTTAATACAAAGTAACATGGATTCTTATAGCATGATCATGACAACATTGATGTGTCATTATATGCACTTTTCCTAGAGAAATAATATAGTTTCCACTGGTAGTCCATGTCCAATATGCAGAGATGAGTATCTGGTTCTTGATTACGTTAATATTGAATTATTAAAACAATTTATTTCTGAACACAATGGAAAAATTCTAAGTTATAAGTAAGTTTTATTTGTTTATAAACTGACTAAAAATGAGGATATTTAAGTACATATTTTATTTCTTTTGTTTTTGCTATTCACAGAACAACTGGCTTATGCCAAAAGTCTCACAATAATCTACTTGTTGCTGTACATAAAGCCAAAGAGTATGGTTTACTCACATTTGATGTTCCCTTCAGACAGTACGATTATTCCGAGTGGAAAAGTTCATAAAAAAAATTCTGTTGGAAGCATTGTATATTGAAAGTCATACAAAAATGGATGAAGAAGAAATAAACTGTACATTTGCAGTAATAGGAGGGGGTATTGCTGGTGTATCTTGTGTTGAAAGCATATGTTTTCTTGCTCCAGAGGCAAATACTGTTTTAATTACAGCTAGTCCCTTAGTAAAAGCAGTTACAAATATAGTTTCACTTGGTAAAACATTAATGCAATTCAATGTCGAAGAGAAGGATGCAGCATCTTTAACAAAGACAAATGATTCATTAAAAATTATTAATGACTGTGTTATTAAAATAAATATTTCAACTAAACAAATACTCACTAAAAATGGTAGAATCATAACATATAAAATGTTATGCCTTTGCAATGGTGCTAGGCCAAAACTTATAGCAGAAAATAATAACAACGTTTTAGGAATTCGAGATACCGAGTCCGTTGTTCAGTTTTCTCAGAAAATGAAAGATTCAAGAAGAATTATAATAGTTGGAAATGGTGGTATCGCCACCGAAATTGTGCACGAAGTGGATGGTATTGAAATGATATGGGTAATTAAAGATAAACATGTTTCTGCAACGTTTGTTGATCCTGGAGCTGCAGAATTTTTTATGGATAGAGTACACAAAGTAGATGTATCTGGAAATGCTAATACAACTACTCTAACTAAAAGAATGAGATACACAGTATCTGACACAGGAGTTGTAAAAGATGGACCAGCTTTAGGTCCTGATTGGCACAACAATTTTGATATAAAAAGTACTGCCTTTAAATCTGCAAAAGTACAAGTTGAATATGAGTGTGAAGTACTGAAGATTCTCAATGAGTTTGAGAAAGCAGAATTTAATCCTACAGAGGAATGGCCAGTGTATGTTGAATTAACAAATGGAAAAATTATTGGTTGTGATTTTATTGTGTCAGCAACAGGTGTAATACCAAACTCTAATATACTAGGATTAGAGGATCTCAAAAAAGCAGAGGATGGTGGGTTATTAGTGGATTGGAAATTAGAAACCTCAGAACACGATATATATGCTGCTGGAGATGTATGCAGTGCAGGGTGGGACTTAGCAAAACACTGGTTCCAAATGAGACTGTGGACCCAAGCTCATCAGATGGGACGTTATGCAGCAAAATCAATGGTTTCCACATTGAGAAATGCGGAGTTTTTGCAAGATTTTTGTTTCGAAATTTTTACTCATGTAACGAAATTCTTTGATTATAAAGTAGTTCTGATTGGTTTGTATAATGGACAAAAATTAAACAATAAATATGAAATTCTGTTACGTATGACTAAAGGAAAGGAATACATAAAACTAATATTGGAAGATGGTAAAATGCAAGGAGCAGTATTGATCGGGGATACTGACTTGGAAGAAACGTGTGAGAATTTAATACTGAATCAGCTGGACTTAAGTATTTATGGAGAAGACTTACTGAATCCGGACATTGATATTGAAGATTATTTTGATTAGTTGTATATTACAAATAAACTGAATAAACTTGTTCATGTCATGTTTTTGTAGCTTGTATCATTAATTAGACTCTAAAGGAAATACAAACTTCATATTAATTCTAGCTTCTATTTGTTATTATTTGTCAATCAATATACAAAGTGTGTACGAAACTATATTAAAGTAAAACGAAGTAGTTAACATAGTTCATAGTTTATACCATTAGAAATACTACTCTAGTATAAAAATAATGTTGTACCGTAGTTACAGATCTTAGTAAAAACCTAATGGAATTTTATATAAGAAAATAGAAAATATTTTCTATGGATAAATGTACAAGTGACAAAAAATAAAATGGACATTTAACGTCTTAATTAACTTACATAACTTTCAGATAATTATAAAGAACTGTACATTCTTTATTCACATAGAGTATTTCTTAATGAAATTTGTTAAAAGTAATTAGATATAATCGCCTGTAAAAATCCAATAAATTCAAGTTGTATTTCTAATTACTACGTCACTTCTTTTCTTAATTTATCTGAGAATCTAACATTTTTCTGGATTGTTTTATCGATGACTCTATTACTATTATGCAACGTGGATTTTGTCGGCGAGCTAAACGATTTTACACAGTCTTTATTAGGATTTTCCGAAAGTGTTAAATTTATATTACCTGAGTTTTCAATTACAGTACCATCACAACGTTGTATGTAATCTAGACTTTCATTTATGCGTTCGCATAATCCTCTCTCTTCAAATGTTTTACGCAAATTATCTATGATATTCTGTATGTCGTCGAGAGATTTCGCAACCGATTGAATTTCGCCATTGTTATCGCACAATTTTCGCAAAGTTTTTGCAGCGAACTCAATTTGTATAAGGCAACTGTTTACGGTATCCTGTTCTTTGTGATTGTTAAAAGTTTGATTACCAAATGTAGTTCCGAAAACAGATGTATCCATAGAGAACTGTTGCAAGCTTTCATTCAAGTGTTTCTTTACTGGTGTCATGTTTATAGAAATTCGACTATTATTCAAAGAATCCTCAAAAGTTTCTGTATTTTCATAGGGTTCCCACGTCTCATTCGACGTTGTGCACAGCTCTTTAATTGAATCCTCTATATCGTAATCTCGCAAACCATGAACCCAATCTAAAAATCGCATTGGCTGCCATATCGTTTCTTTCATGGAATCTCTGTTACGTATACGAATTACTGGCTTGAGACTTTTATTCAAAATCATTTGTTGTTGATCAAATTCCTACGAGAAAAAAATTCTTTACACAATGATATAAAAACTGCATGCTTTAACACTTTGGTTACCATGTATCATCCATAAAATAAGCAATACTATATGTATTCTGGAGTTAAAGAATCAATCTATCTAGGGTTTATAAGATTCTATAAACATAAAACAATTAGTTTCGATCTTACTAGCTCTAAGATGTTACGAAAAAAAAGGCTTGGAGCAATTATTACTTTTATGAATATTGATCAGGTAGCCCACATGTTAATTATTTTATCAAACTTGTGGATACGTACATAATTAATACCGACTTCTCTGCATCGTTCGGTAGCCTCTCTGACTAATAATTGCATTTCATGCAGAGTAATACCGCCACCGTTGATAGCCTCAGTACTCGCTTTCATTTTAAGAGCAAATTCAGCATCTGCCGTTTTCTCGCTCAAGATATTTTCCAATTCTTCCAAGAAGTTGGATTTGTATGGGGTGACGGTAACTTTCTTTTCTTCTGATTGTATCTGTTTTAATCGATTGCCTATCTCAACCTCGTTTACAAGCAATTCTCTTTCCAGTTCCAATTCCTTCTTTTTCTGATGAATCTGTTCTAACGCAAGTTTCTGTTCTTCAACTGTAGAACCAAGAACTTCAATTTTCCGTTCATAAGACGACTTCTGGGAGCCCAGTTGCATTTCAACCTCGCGTTTTGCGTTCTCCAATTCTTTTATAGCTTTTTGTTTACTTTCCTCTAGTTCGGCTCGTAACCTTTAACCGTAAGATTCCATTAAATATTTATACATAGTAAGACATAGCTGAGTCATAAGTATCCGTTTAAAAGAGATATTGTATAAAAAAACAAAAATTAAAGTTGAAACAAAACTCGTACTTCTCCTCTTGTACTTTAAGAATTTCCTGGTAAGCAAATTCATAGTCCATGGCTTGCGCAGAAATTTGAATATTACTTTGCCCGTCATGAGGATTTGAAACTTTAAAGTAATGGTTGCCGCCGATAACCAGTCGGTCGCCGTGCTTGAGGACCACTTTACCGGTTACAATCTACAACAATGTGAATTTTTAAGAAACTGATACATAATAATAATACACGATAGGATATACGTGTAACATGTTATACTTGTCCATTGACATAGGTGTCCCCGTCCATTTCCGAAGACAATGTAAGTTTCCCGCTACTATTTTCAATTGTGCTGTTAAATATACAAAAGATGATTAAAGGAAATATATATAACAGATCGCATTAAAGCAACATTGAATTATATTGTACAATATGTAACAGATCGCATTAAAGCAACATTGAATTATATTGTATAATATGTAACAGAAAATCTCAGTTTCATGCGTGTTATCCCGATGATTTTATAATCTTGTCCATAGCGTTTCTTGAGAGCACCTAGACAGATCTATCGGCACCATAATTTTAATGTATGAAAAGACGACGTAAATCCTCATTAAACCATAAATTAGTAAATGTCATGCTCAGAAATCATCAGGTGCGGTGTATTATGTTGACAAAGGAAACAAAGAACATGCAATGGCGAGAATGTGAAAGGAGAACAAAGAATGAAGAACATTTGTATTCTTGCACCAGAAATCAAGTTGCAACAGACGAAACGAATATGGAGAATAACATCAAGTAGAGAAAAGAACGAGAACGTGGGGATAAACAGAATCCAATAAATCCGTTTGCATTCAACCACCAATGTGCGAACGATCCATAGACTAACCAGTGTAGAGGCCTAACTAGCGGTCCATCCAACATGATATCCAAAATTTTCGACGAACTTTCTGGCCCCGAATTTTTGCCGATACGAACCAATCCAGGAGGAATCAAATACAATAGCGTACCAGACAACATAGGATCGGCTGCGAGATTAATCAGACAAGGCTGTTTATCTTTCTCATGGATATCGATCTCGATGGCGATTCCGCAGCGACGTAAGTATTTTAATTCGGAATTTTTCCTCTCCTCCGTTTCCCGTAGCCTTTTTAACCAAGTCCTGCAATCACAGACAACTGAATCCCAAATCTTTACCGACGACATGTTCGCACAAAGATCCATTATTCCGATTTCTGGTGTGCTGTTCCAATGAAATTTCCCTCCGAAAGCAATTAATATCGGCTCGAGCCACAAATAATTTTCACCTTCTTTTTTTTCAATTCATTTCAGAGTATATCTTACAAGGGATGTTAATTTAAACAAGAAAGATCATTCGATTAAATTACACTTCGTCTCGCGACACAGTTTCGCAGAAGTATTGTTCTCTTTCGTTAGAACTTCTTAGGTTGCATCGCGATCTAATTACCGGGAGTGTTTGAGTTTCTTTAATTTCGATAGTAAAATAAAATGCATAAATAATTCATTTATCGATTGCGAATATCGAGAAGTTATTTATCTGTAAGAAAAAAAGTGTACCTTTACATAGTTTTCTATTACATCATCAGAATAGAAATATGTAGAACATGAGGTTTATTGATTTGACTTGCAAATAACTTTCGCGGTCGTGTGAAAACAAATGTGATAAATAACAAAAGCTATGCAAGTTTAGGAATAATTATTTCACTTCAATAATACCGAATAATACAATAAAAGAATTAATGAATTGAAAAAATGAAGACGAGGCCTATTTATGTATCAATCCAACTGTAAGAAAAAGTATTACTAATTAAAGGTGTTTAGTAGGATACACTTACATTTGAGTGGTCGCGAGTTGTTCCTCGGTTTTCTTCAATTGATCCTTCAATTTATCGATTTCCTGCTGTTTCTGCTTCACCTCGTCGTGATTCTTGCCAGGGGGTTCAATGGAATCTAAAAGTCTACGCGGCTGAATTCCCAGTTGCTTTTCGTATCCTTCACGGACACCGCGCAATCGTTGAACTTCCGCTTTTAGCTCGCTATAATGAAACAAAGCGAAAGTCAATAACAGGAGGATAAAAAAATACGGTTATTACGATGGTTGCACCTGTTAAAAATCATTAGGTTATGTATATGGCAACACCACGAATGTATTCTTTTGTTTCGCAGTTTCTAATTTCAACCGTATACGGTCCACGTTACTTCCGGTTCAATCGGAACAGAAACCGTAATTACACAACCGCAAACGGAACCGAAATTGTACTTATTTTACTCATCTACATCGTTTACATTTTGTTTTTTCATTGATCGACCAATTAACCGACGAAAATGTTCGAAAAGCTGGATTGATAATATTCGAAAATGTGCCACGCATCGAAATAATTCAAAATTATCGTTGTGAATTGCGTGTGCGAAAAATCAATTTTGATCCTCCCATTAGCCAAACCTGCAAAGCCAAAATGGGTACGAGTTTGATGCAAGATTTGCTATAAATAACTTGCGCGCACATTGACAGCAACATAGGCAGTAAATTGACAGCAACATTGCAAAAAAATTAATAATAACGAGTTTTTACCGAATTAACTTCTCGTGTGGATCTTCGTTGATTCGTACACGATTGATGATTGCTCGCGCTTGACATGCGTATCGAAGGGTCGAAAGTGTCTCCTCCACGTGTATATTAGCAGGGGACACGGTACCAAGCATCGCTGTCCTCGAGTTTCCGCCGAGGCTCTCCTAACAGATTAAAAGAAAATAAATTACAGAATATTTTCAATAGAGAATGTAGCAGTCGCTTTCTGACAAAAAGTAAGCGGATCAATCGTACAGTTCGTTCAAATAAAAATAAGTACTCTGACTTATCGAAATTGTTGTCAAGGTGGTCGAAGTACTCGTGACTCTTACCACCAAAGAATACTACATCGATCGAGAGACTTCGATGCATGGATAAATGGCGTTATACATTCTTTCGCTGCAGAAGTTAACTGTTCGAACAGATTTAGACAAAGTATCATCGCGAATATATCATAAAAAAAAATAAGAAAGAATGAATACTGACGTAACTATTGTTTAACAATGAACTTTTCGATCGTTAATCGAAAAAACAATTACAATCACCAATCAATATCAATTTTAAAACTGAACAATAACACTAAGTGATGTTTACAAAATGTACATCTGTCAGTTCGTCAAACAATTGTACGACAAATCATCGTATTATCAGATTTGTCGGTGCTTCATGATCATTGATCCAATGACTGATCATTTCGGTCACGATTCGACCGTTAATCAATTTCATAGATTAATCGTAAACTAATCATTTCCTTTTGACGCTCCGATATTTCGATTAAAATGGTTAAAAGCGTTCCATCTATCATAATTTCGTTTCTTTTTCGCATAAATAATTATTATCAAGATACCGGACGATAAGACGGTAAGCCGTTCGAAAGAATGATTGCAGTCTAATCTTTTGCGAGTAGTATGCTTCTTTATCGATCACGCCTTGACGTTTCTTTCTTAACGTTATCCTGATATAACTAATAAAACGATAAGATCGCAAATAGAGGATGGAGTTCCTCGTTTGTGCATACATGTTAAGCCCGCCGAACCATTCCGTTAAGACGATATTTAACAATGGAAAAAAATGTCTTCAGCTCGTGTCGTCGAAACGTCATCATCCGAACGGCAAGTTTTGTTCAAGTACAAAACTTTTCTATCGTCGATTAATGAAATTCCATTGTCATTTTTCATCGCTAGACATTTATCTTCGATTCTTTTGCTTCGTATCGATTTTTTGCCTTTATAATATCGCGGATGATAACACGACCTTTAATTCGACAACGTTTAATCGTTTCAACCGGTTATCCGTATAATCGCACAGAGACCCGTGTACGAATGCACACGGATTATCAATTTGCACTTGCAACATTACAAAACGATCCGTCTTTTCTCTTCCAGTTGGGGGTTATCCGGTACGATTAATCGTTGTAGGGATACAAAAAAAAGAAAAGTATTTTTTTAAACTTTAAACGATTCCGCGTAAGCTTATCACCCGTTACATACTCCAATCACGTGATGTTATCAGTAACGAACGAGACTCTATTTATTCATATTTGTTTTGTTTTTTTTTCGGTATTACAATTCTGTTCGTAAACGGAACTTTTTATACGATTCGCGGTCGTAATAAATCTTCCCTTGGTACACAGTACACCGTGCTAGTGGTTCAAGGGTAACTCTTCTAATCAACACGTAGGCGCGTTCACCATCTGGAAGGAATTCCGGTTGCCAGGCTACACTCGACCATATTGTTTGCAAAATAGAAGAAAAAATTCTACGTAAAATCGAACGTCACAGCCGTGTACGGACGATATAGCCCGATGTTAAGTAATTCTCAGTCGAACTTGCAGCCAATCTGTTTGGCGATGTAATAGTTATCGAAAACACGTAATTTTTCCGTTACCAACAAGATTCTAAAGATAAATGTTTTGCGACACACACAAGGCGAGCCCCTACCTAGTAAACAATAAATTTTTCTGCACGCACTAGAGTGTTATCTATTACGTTGTTAATAACAGCCTTGGAATTTATATATGCTATCCGGAGTAACTATTATTAATAAAAAACAAATACCGACGTGTCGAACAGGTACGGTACGGAGAACGATAAGAAATAATTCGATACATTCAAATGCTTGTTTATTCTGCAACAGATGCATCTATCTATATGTATGTTGAGGAAAATTTAGTTCTTAGTGAGTCACACATAGTGATATTTTTATTATCAATTATCATGACTCAGAAATTTCTTAACGCACGGATATCGATTGTTAGGCTTTCATATCTGTACTCGCGAGTTACTGTAAAAAAAACAGTACCGAATAACTTAACCTAATACAATTTAGTATTATCATGGTGATAAGATTTACTTTCCACATAATTATCAAAGAAGATAAACCAGGATAAACCGGTTCATCGAGTACAGGTCACGAAACAACGGATATTTGTACACTCGATCAATATCAGTTCATTTACCATAAGCCTGGTATAAACGGATATACTTATTAATTTCCTTCGTTTATCAGGTAGAAAATAAAATGAAATCCGTGTTGCGTTTACATTATTCACAAATGCAACGAACACGTGAAAATCGGTAGCCCGAGGATTACCGACGATGATTGATGATTAACTGATCCGATGACGTAATGTAAAAACACACAACCAGTATTGGTGTAAGAACAACTGGAAAAACTTGGACCAGTTTCCAAGTCATTTTAATATGTTGCCGCAAAAAATTACAATTCTTATTGAAAATGCATCCCGGTGGAATGCATGTAGCAACTATTTCTTACAATATTTAACAAAATTTGATCTTATTATCAACATAAATTGCAGATACAACCATTAAGAAACAAAAACTTTCTAAGTTTCGGAGATAGGACTTAAAAGAATATTTGTTGTATTCTGGGTTGAATTTTCTTTATATTGTATGGAATTGGTATTCTGTGAACCAGTGAGACGTACGTAGATTAATGATCTAAATTTATTTTTAAAACTGGAGGTAGAACAGTTAAGAACTCGGGCGACGATGTATAAGTAATTTGCGCCGTATGATAAACAATATGCGTTGTTTATATTATCTATCTGTACGATAGTGGTGAGTGCATTACCTAACTTACTACACAAACAACCAGTATTGTTTATCCTACGACAAAAATTGCTTACACACAAGTTACACTAGTACTCAATTCTAGGCGATGGTCCAAATTCGACAACCTTGTCCTATACTACACATCCATTCCCATCAGTCATTCATAGCGTGGATCCAACAAGTTCCCCCCTCTCCCCATGGGGGGGATACGGACACTTGATCCGAATCGAATACAACTCGGCAGATAGAGACAAGAGGAGAAGAAAAAACAATAGCGAAAAGGTGCGTGACGGCAAAAACGCATTTAGAAGTCATAAAATCCGCGATGTAATTCGCGAAGGTGATTGGTGTATAAGGGTGGGGCGAGCCAAAGGGCGCACGGCGAGGAGCGGGAGAGGAAGAGAAGCGGTGAGGCCGGTGGTGGGCCGCGATATGGGAGAGGGGCAAAACCGACGGCGGCGGATAAACATTACGTGTGCACAAAGCGTCCACGCTCGTTTAGTTCATAGGAAAACATCGTGGCAATTCGAGCGTGGGACGGACGCAACGCAACCGTTCAAAAGATTTTTGGCAGCGTCTCGTCTTTTTCGCGCGCTTTCCCTCCCCCACCTCCTGGATCGTATATTAACATCGGTGACTCCTGTTTGCCAAATCAGTTTGTCCCTCGTCGCAGTGAACAGAAGGAGCGAACCGAGGATCCACGAGAGAACACATCAATTCATCTGAAGTTGCCTGAAAAAGTTCTCGACTTCGTAGAGGCACAGACCGAAGTTAACTTCGCAAGGTATTTACGAAGAAGAAGAAGAAGAAATAACATCATCAGGCAGGCGAAGTTAATTGGCGTGTATACGTACCAAACAAAGGATCGAGAAGACGTGCACACCCGGGAACACACTGAGGAGGTGTCCACGTGTGTGGAGATGTGAATAGTTTTCTCCACGATAAGAAGAGACACTCACACAACCAACAAACATGGATCTGGTCTACGTGCCCGAAGTACTGACCTACGGTTACCTAAGGAGCCTGTCGTACAGGGACTATGAGCAACCCTGGAACACGAACTATTTTAACAATGGTACGTCCTTTGAGCGTTCTGTAGTAAACAGATATTACGGGCAGAAATCAAACGTGTATCGATCCAGACGGTTTCCATTCAGGAATAGCGCAGGGCGTTTGTACAGGTGATCGGAGCGGCGAGTATAAATTGAGTAGCGGTGTCCATACATTTTCTTTTTCCGTGGGTAAATATTACAACCGAGGATCGCGCTGTGTCTTGTTCCTAACTGTGTGTGAGCAGTCGAGATAACGAAATGATATCTTGCCGTGCAAACAGTGATCCATACGCAGTCGGAGTAGATGCACGTGTCCTGTAAAACTCGGTATAGAAGTAAACCTCTCGGTCCTTGAGTGTGGTCTGAATTCCAAAATGAAATATCATTTTTGTGGTTAAAATTCTTCCGTTTGTTCGATTCACGAGTGACAAGCTTTTGTCGCGGGTAACTGTGCTCTCGTGTCTATTTCCGTCCGTATTCCATTTTGCTATTGTTACGAAGGCCTGCGAAAAACGTTACTCCACTCGATCGTTTTAATCGTTTCACATTGGGGTTCATCTTTATCGGGGAGAAAGCACGGCGTCGACAACGTGAAAGCTCTCTTTCTCTAGATCGACTCTCGATCACCGTACAAGGAGCTTGTTTTCTCCCGTTTGGCTGTAACAGAGTCGTTTTAATCGTCTGTAAATTTGACACAACTCGTAATCGAGTACAATTATATGAGAATGCACGAAAAAAGTGTAAATTCAATATTATTCTTCTGTTTCAAAAATTCAAGCTAACGTCGTGTTGCAAAATAAATGTCGCTCTCTCTGCGAGTCCTTTAGACTCTCGGGTCTTTTGTTTACATTAGAGCTACGCAGAGTAATTCTTATCGTCTCGATATATGCTCGTTCGGTTTTGAATTCAATGAACCAGCGACGTGTTTCCTGCTCATCAGAATTATTGAAAGATATGCATCGATAAAACTCGTTTCTACTCGATATGCTAGGCTGTCTCTCCCATCCAGGCAGCAAGGACGACGCTCGTAAAAACTGCGCAGCAAAAATGTGGGGAACGAGTTGTGTCCAAAGTTTTTCTATTCTCCAATAAACTACGGAACTCACAAACGTTTCCATCTTCCAATGGTAGAAAATCAATGATCGAAAGACGAAGTGAATTGTACGCATTTGCATTCCCGTACGATCACCTGGTTGCATAACAGTAAAAAAATGTGTGATGAAAGCCTAACCGCGTATTGTATCATTTTTAGAATCTGACTGGGCATCATTAACGGACTAACCAGACTTTCGATTTAATTTTAAATTCCGTCAAAGATATCCCAAAGCTTTGCGATCAGGGAATTTCCATGAAAAAAATTTCCATAAAACCCCTGATAGAAAGTTCAATCAGATTTGAAATATCACATTGGATCCCGATAATTAGAAGTCCCCAACAGATAGAATTTTTTGATAATTCGCTAGAAGGAGGATCGTGCGTGCCATGAGGACGCCTGATATTTTCTACGTAGTTGGTGCCCCACCCATCGCGTTATCTCCGCGTGGAACTGGTTGTCGAAACTCGGGCTCCCCGCGTTTACGTATCGTGCATTTTTTGCATCCTGAAATACCTAGTAATTATCACGTGTTACCAGATATACATTTGCGAGAAGAACCCGCAGAGATCTTTCGACTGAGCAAATTCTTTCCGTGGCTCACGCGATCCTGACGATATGTGTTCGAATTGCCAAGAACCGCAGGAATAAGCGGCTGTAAACAAACAAACACGCGGGCTACACACGCCGATATTCTAGACGATGGAAAACATGTTTACGGTTGTTACGATCTGCGCGCGCGCGATTTGTGGTCACAGATACAGAAAGAAACATTCGTACTGTATATGATAATGATCCACGGACCAGCATCCACGCCCGCGGGCGTTCGGTTATATTATGTATCTCTATACGAGCAAGCGAAAAAAAATACAACACAGTCTAAAAATAACGTTTCTTAGCAGATGTGACACGCTACTCCGCAGATAAACGTAATTAAAAATATCGCGCCTGATAATTAACACGATCCGTGAAAATCGCAACTATCATGCGCCGAAGGTGGACGAGAAATTGCCCATTACATCGAACGAGAAAGAATGCTTTTATCTTTAATGGTATTTACATATTTACTTTAGCTCGAAAGCTTTTGTGATCGCTTAATGGAGCGATCTTGTTACGATAAGATACGAAAGTATTGTCAAGTTAATCGTGAATAAATTCGTTGATCTTTAACAACCATTCTTCAAGAATAATACAGAGTGGCATGCGTTAAATACATAGATATTTATGTTTTCTCTCGAGTGTTTCTTGAAGTTAAACGTAAATTCGAGCTTCTTGATATTTTGTTTGAAGGTTTCGAATTTTTCTGTATAATATTTCATTAGATCGGGGGTGTTAAGACCTGCTATTCTACTCGCGATAACTCACGTGTTTATGCGACGCAGTGCGAGTCTATTTCTAGTTGGCCGATACGCAAAAGATGTTCCCATGACCCTTCAGTCCCATTCGCAGGTTTTGTAATATGTATCAACCATTCGAATCGCATTGAAAACTTCATTTTATCTTTTATTCAAAGTAAAGTATGCGTTTCTGTTCCGTCTTTTCGAAGATTAAGGAAACTTATTTGAGATGTTGATTTTTATCTTCTAGACTTTTTATCTAACGAAACGACGTTTTTCGTAATCGTGTATTAATCTAAGAGTAATAAAATATATTTTACGATCGAAAACGAAAACAAAAGTGGTATACGTAGTACGAGGGAGCCGTCACGCACGCGTTCGTCAGGAAACAGATTAAAGGGTGTCCTACGTGCGTCGTGGCACGTACGTTTTTGAAGAATTTGCAACACCGTTGATTATACATATCTGACAGTTGTTAATGATTCTCCTATAATATCAAGAGCACGGAAATCGATTTCTCTTTATTTATCATTTAAATACTAATTTTCCTCTCGTAACAGGAAACAAGTTAGGTAGAAAGCGGTTAGACGGAAGTTAGAGTTATCGACATGAAACCGTAGTAACGCATTTTTTAAAAGGAATAGATTCCAATGGTGGAATACAATTGTGTTGCAGGGCGATCGATGCAGAATTATTGCCAACGATTGCCGCAACAGCACCACGAAGAGAAACAACTGTCAAAAGAGAACTGCCACTTGTGTCGAGAAAGCAAAAGAAGAAGCCTGGCGGCTTACATAAGAGGCAAATCGCGGAAGAGTTCTTGCAAAGAAATCCACGAGGAAGAGGAAGAACAGGATACCGCGAATGTTAACGAGGAGAGTTCAAATGGCGATAATCAGGCGTCGAAAGTAGAGAACGAAAATACAAAAAGATCCAGTGAATCGAAAAAGACCAAGGAGAAATAACATGTAATTCAAATCATCTCGCGTGATTGAATGCTACTTAATTATTACGTATTTCAGCTAGAGTTTCATCTATATAGGTGGAAGTTTTCATATAAAACATGATGCATAAAGATAATACTGAGTAGATTAGATATTAATAAGGGTCTAATCGTCATTCACGATTCATAAGATTTTTATAAAAGTTATGATTTAAAATTTTTCATTATGCCTGTGTGGAAATGGCTCAAAGAATAATGTACTTTTACGCATTTCACGCTCCTAGATATTATTTCAAACAAAAAAGTACAACGATATATGCAGAACATATGTGTACTCATACACACATGAATTCTCATGAATTGGTAGGAGAATATAATGCATGCTCTACTGAATTCATATACTAAATTAAAAAATGAATTCTCAATCGATTACTCATGCATTATTGAGGTTTTTACTTTCTTTCAATACACTGTCAAGTGTAGAAGCATTAAAAAGATTAAACGTTATAATTTAAGATTAACCGAGTTTAGAAACTGCATTTATATTGCAGGTACAAAGTATAAATACTGTAATTTTTACCCTGTAGCAAACGATGTATTCTTTACATTGTTTTACCGAGGATACTTTAACGATGCAGAACTTAGAATTAAGAAGATATTCAATAGAGAATTGAATAATCTATAAGACTGACTTTACACACAGAATTACATTGGAAGAAATGTTATCCATAGCTAATAGTATTAAAGCTAGCTTATAAGTTACAGTATACTAGGAAGTACATCGTTTGTAGAAATAGTGATAAATTAGTATTTTCATACGAATGTTAAAGAAATATTACTGTCATAATATTTACAGACTGTTAAAGAAGATTCATTAATGAAAAAGCAATGAATAGAAAATATATAGAATAAATAGTATCTTCTTTCGTTTGTTTTAATGTTACTTACCTTTAACAGCCATGTCAGAACAGACTCTCTATATGGAACAAAACCTCGTTTACGATTATTCGTGCTTTCAGCAAGAGATGCAATTACTTTTCCTAATGTCAGCAGTGACTTGTTAATGGATACACCTTCCTATAAAATACAATCGAATACCCGACTATGTACAAATCAGGTACTACAAAAATATAGTTATATATCCAAATGTAGCAAGACAAACCTTCAGTCTATCACCACTGGCACAAGTCTGACTCAGTCTCTCACTGCCAGCTAGGTCCACTAAATTAATTTTACTACGACGACTAGGATCTACAGGTTCCTTGTCCAACTGACTATTTACTTGTGTCTGTGTTAATATGATACTGAATATACTATGAGATCTTGAACTTTTTTCATTCATTCCTGTTGCTGCAGTAGCTCTCTGAGAATTTCCGACTCTGAGCCAAGTCTGAAATAAACATATTTATGATGATACGTGTGAATAATGAAACATCTATTAGTACACAAAAGAAACATTCTCACTATACTGCTACCCAGATAGCACATGACGCTTTGAAGACGCTCATTTGACGACTATTTTAGGACTAAGTCTTTAAGCCGTTTTCAAGGCATTATTTGGTGTCATGTGCTGTCTGGATATGGACATACCTGCAAGTCTTTATAATTCTGTACACAATGCTGACTCAAATCAACAATGTACGGACCAAAAACAGGATGTTCTCTGACTTTAAGAGGAGCTCTTTTTACTCCATTGTTAACATTCGTTAGAAGATCATGTATCTTTTCATTATAGATTTCAAAGTAACTAATTTCAACAGTGGTTTTAGTGTTCATGCTTGTAGGTATTCTTGTAAATATTTCTTGACAAAATCGTGGAATAATGCCAGATGCTTCATCAAACATTGTCAACTTTGTCTGTGAAGATTCTTGGCCCATCATGCTATAACTTTTACCAGATCCTGTTTGTCCATAAGCAAACAAGCAAACATTGTAGCCTTCGAAAGCATTTTGTACCAATGGTAGAACCATGTTTTTAAATACAGTTTCTTGACTGGCATGACTAGACATTGTTGGATCCTCATATGACATAAAGCAGTGATCATACATGAAAGTATGCTGAATAGATTCACAGTTGACACTAATACTTTGGCCATTTACTTGTAGAACTGACATAATCTTTGAATCGCTTAGTTCTCTAAAATAATAAAAAAGAAAGTTTTGTATTACAACACAGTATTTTTTCAAATTTTTTAAACATAGAAACTTACTTCATATTTAAAGGCCTAACACGTATTCCCACAATCAAGTTACTATTTTCTCCTTCGTATACTGTTTGGTCTTCTATACCGATTTCATTTGATTTAGCACAGGGTGTTTCTACTTGCACTACACTGAAGCAATTGGGTGTTGTTTCAGACAAAACATGATCACTTAAATAACGGTTTATAGGTGTTTTATTTATAGGTAAGACATTCATTTTTGTAGCACTTGAAATAGCACGTGATTTATATAGCTTAGGAGTACAAAAATGTACTGTTGGTGTCTTATCATTCAATGAAGTAGCAGATGCTACCTTTGTAGAAGTCTTATATCTTTCATTGGATAATATACTTTCAGGAAATAAAACTTGCTTCCTTTGAAGTGTGTTTATAGACTTTGAATGTGTAAGATGCGAGTTAAAAGGTATGTCTGTTAACTTGGAATTCTCAACCAAGACACTGTCAAACAACATTTTACGTTTCTCGTGTTTTAAGCATTTGTCTTCATCTTCATTTCGGATTCCTTTCCGAGGTGTGTTAAACATCTCAGTGCACGTTTTTCTTCTAAAAAAGAATCAGACAGACTTAGCGATGTACAAGCTGCAAATAAATATTTATTCATACCTATGTATGTATAAAATGTAGGATATAAACTCACGTTTTGTTAAGAGAATTTGTATTTTCCTTGTCGAAATTAATGGGTATACTTGAGAAAATGGCATCGCAAAATCCGTGTCCCATAGATTTCACGGTATTATGTGACATGTTGGTATAAGATGCAAAATTTTCTTAAGTGGAAAACATTTACGCGATGAACAATTTTGTTTCGGTTAACTAACCTTGCCAAAGCCCGCCGTTTGACAGATGCACAGTTACCAGTGACTACATCTATAGCCACTGCAGTTACTATGTTTGTCTCAACCAATCATATTTTTCTGCATGGATTATATTTGATTGATTAAAACGAATTGTAGATTTTTACCATCCATATATACTATATACAGTTCCATGATTATTATATTGTTCTAAAATCGGCAGCTACGCGTAAGTTTTACCCTACGATTTAGTATTTACGATCATCATTGTAACGATCTTTTAAATTTCAAATTTTTAAATATTCAGGCTGGCCAATGTCGGTAAACCATCATTACCAACAGCACCATGGTACTTTCAAAGAGATTAACCAAACCCACAAACGTCAATATATATATATATGTCAATATATGTATAGAACCTGTGACCAAACACTAAACCACGCTTTGATAACGCAACTTCTGACGTGGCTGTATTTTTTTCTTATTGAGTACCGTACCTGTAATATCGAGGTTCACAAACTTCTATGCACGGATGTTAACATTACACCGACCACAGTACGTGAATCAGTTATTTTTCCACCAGTTCGTGCAAAGCTGTAGAAATGACTACGACGACAGAAGATAACCAACCTAGCCATACAAACAAATGGATTTCAAAAGTAGTGTTTGCCACATTCCTGTTGCTTATACTTTTAAACTTGCCAGCGCTTTGTCAGGCCCATAGTGATGACGAGTCACCAAGTTTCAAATACTCTAAGCACGCTAATGAAGTGTATCAGCAAAAGGAACATTCTGTGGAGGAACATCATCACGAAGAACTGAATTTGAATCAACATAAACATGTGCACAATGAACATGATCATCGACAGAAGTTGCCTTTGTCTGACAAAACACAGGACAATGTGCTTTTCAAAGCTATTACATCAACTCTATTTATATCAGCAGCTCCATTTTTTATTTTATTTTTTGTTCCTTTAGAC